TATGTATGTATGTATGTATGTGTGAAGGAGTTGCCTCGTGTGTGAAGTTGTGCGCGAGTAGGTGCGACACTCAACGACAGCAAACGGTGCAAAATCGAACGCTTTTTGTGTGAAGTTAATAATACGTTTGTCATTCGCAAGACAACCGGCAAAGACAACAACTATTCACATATAAGAAGTGATCGTTTTTTTACCACATCTCTGGAAGAGCAGAAAATATATGCAGAAATCTGTATGCGCGGACGGACAATCATCATACGTGCCTATGTATGTATGTATGTATGTCTGTACGTTCGTATAAACACATAAGAATAAATGATCGGTGTAAAGTTGGCATAAGGTGAAACGGACGGACGTAATGCTGGTAAAGATGCTGTTTGCATCAATTGTTGGACATGTTGGCTCACGGCCCAGAAGGTTGGTGTTTGCCGGCTGGTGGTTCGCTGGTTGAGATGTGTGACTGCAGACACCAATGTTGGACACCAGTTGAGTGAATGGCATCAAAACAATGCATTCAATAGCTACATATGTGACGAACTGACTGGCTGCCAACTGACAAGTGTATGCTTATGCGCGGAAATGTAGTCGTACTTATGCGCAAAGCCTTGCGCATATAAACATACAACTATATTTTCGTGCATATGTGCATTAGACTGCATCACTCCCCATACAAAAAAAAAATAAAATCGGTACTGTGTTTCCATTGGAATTATAAATTATATTTTATTTTAAGACGTCCACCAAAATATTTCCGAAAAATATTAAGATTTACGTAAGTTGAACCGATTTGAAAATATCTCCAAAAATTTTGTTTTTTATGAATAAAGATTTTTTTTTTTTGAAAAAATCCCCTCAAATGACAAAACGGTTTAAGCTTAAAAAATTTGCATAACAATATTTTTAAAAAAATTTCAAAAATTTTTTGAAAAGAAATAAAAATAGTACAATAGTACTTTTTTACTGAGATCTCGTAAGTCCAAAACAAAATAGTTTTGGCCCAGTTATTCAAGTTTATCGTAAATCAATGTTTGAAAAAAGATAAAAAAACAGCATCAAAAATCTCATTATTACGATTCCCTTGAAAAGATTTTTAAATATTTTTATGCAGATTTTTTAAACTTTATCTCTTTTGTAAGAGGGGACTTTTTTCAAAAAGTTCTTTAAGAAACTATTTTTATTCATAAAAAATACATTTTTGGCGGTATTCTCAAATCGGTCCTGCTGGACGTCTTAAAATATAATAAATTTTGTAATCCCGGCGGAAAAACCGCAACTTTTTTTTGGTGATGCAGTCTTATGTGCATACATACTTACAAATCAATTGTATGCTTCCCTAAAGAAATATTTGCTCGAATAAATTTATGATTTATTAAGGATGCGCTGATTACAAGATCGCCTGTGCAAAAATATGAGCGTATGAATACAAAAATTTCTAAAAACGAAAAAAAACAAAGCGCTCTGAATGCTTAAAGCATGATCGCAGGAAAATTGAATGAGAAGGAAGCACTTTGGCAAATGGCTAAACTTGCATTCGAATAGTGAGCGGACGCTCGTGTGATTTTTAGCTGGTTGAGTGATTTTTTTCCGTTAACTGTGTTTTGGTATTAAAATATGATATGTTGATGATGTGCATATTTTATGATGGGCTTAAAAATATGCTGTGAATTTTAAAAAGTGAAAATCGGTTTTTTTGAAATAAATGTCTTTGAATTCGCCTGCAGAAATGTGATATTTCAAATAAGCTACATGGGAATAAGTAATGCACTTGTGCATACATACATATTTACATATATATTATGGTAGTGTGCCGAAGTGCAACGTAGAGAGAATTTCGAAACTTCTAGAATGTAGGCGTAATATTTTTCATCAGATAAATTGGTGATTTTTTGCGTGATGGCCTTTGATTTGGCTCAAAATTTGCTCACAGCCTAATTTATACTAAGTAAAACTGACAGATATAGACTTCAAATTCTTTTCCTTAAAAATTATGTGCGACATAAAGGTCAACAAAATTCTTTACTGCGATCTTTTAATAATTTTTCATATAAGATGTCTTTTGAAATGACTGAATAGGGTATTGCAAAAATAAATTTAGGAATATGGATGGAACTTTAAAAAATTAAAACTCACCTTTATTTCAAAAGAAATTTTATATAAAAAGTTATTAAACTAGTAAAGCAGATACGTACATAGCTGGATTCACTATATATCCAATGATGCCTCATTTAGGTAGTTGGAACAACAAATAGTCAACTTTTAAAAAATTGTGTTGACCAAAATTTGCAGTTTTATCGATACTTACAACACCCATAATTTTTAAGAAAAAAAAATTAAAAAATCAAGTCCATTTATGTCAGTTTTAGTATAAAATTAGGCAAGCTTTGAACCAAATCGAATGTCATTGTGCAGAATCGCGTTTATGTTTATTTTCGAATAGCCGTTAGGTTAGATTGGGCGACAGTCGCCTGTGAGAGTCTCACACCCATACCCAGGATCCCTTTTGATGTCGCATGGGAGTTCACAGTTATACTCGTTACGCTAGAAACCACGGCTGCTCAGCAAAAAAGTCGAAAAGCTCTTAATAGCCATTGATTTGAAGTCACCCAAATAATCGAAGAATTAACTGTCAAAAATTTTCTTCCCCGTTGTGATAGTGGCGGGCAATGACAGAGAAGGTGTTGAATGCTTTCCTTCTTGTCCCCGGGCATGCTCCTGGCTCCATAAACATTCGAGGGTGCGCCCAGTCAGGCTGTGTGTAATCTAGTAAGATGATATTCGGTAAGAATTTCAGTTCGTATGCGAGTGTTTTACCACCTTCGGCGAATAAAGTTAGAAAGACGAAATTCTCGGATGTGATCTAGTGCATATTAGTCCTTAACTTACAATTTTTTCGAAAATAATTATTGTGAAATTTCAAGGATATTCAATGATAAAATGTGAAAAGGACATTTTCAATACCTATTTAGTCGATCTTATGCACCAAAAAATTTAATCAGGCTTAATTCTACAGAATTTTCTCTTTAATTTGATAGTCATGCTGTTCCTCTACTGAATTTTTTATTAATTTACTGAACTGAATTTTTTATTAATTTTTCGAAGTAATTATGTTTTTTTTTTTTTAATTTCAAAGTCCTTCAAAAAAAATTCTGACGTTAGAGAGAAAAACCAAAACGCAGTTTTACTATATTTGGCCTTTCGTTTCGCGAATACGTATATACAATTTTTTGTGTGTAAAATTTACAGTCGCACCGTGATATTAATAAGAAGGAAAAAATCAGAATGGTTTAGTTTTTTGTGTAATCGACCACTGCACAATTTGTAGTACCACCCCTTCTACTGTAAATCATTTTGCTGAGCATGATGACTCTTAAGCTGGGTTCACACGATTTGTACATTTAAGTAGAAGATAATTATTTTAAAACCTTTTTGAAATTAATAAGTTATGTTTATTTGTTTTACAACAAAATGCCAATGTACATACATACCTTAAAGTACATAAAAATGTTATCAGCATTTACGTGTCCTACACATATTTGAGGTATTTCGATCGATTTATTTGTAGATACGTAAATTGCGTGTGTAAAAAAACCAACAGTCGATGGTAGCGCCGTGTGCCAAAGCTATAAATTTTTGTTTTATTACAGCCGGGTATGGTTTTAGAAGAAATCATAAGCTGATAACTAAGTAGCTGCTAACAGTGGATTATTCTATTGAGTCGCTGTTAGGCCGACGACCCTATGAGTTGTGGGTACGACACCAATTATTTTGAAATCCAAAGTTAAGAATGATGAAAGCTTTCTTAGATAAGCGCTTAGGGCAGAAAAGAGCAGTTACTTACAAGTTAGAGATATGTAATCAAACAAACTGTCTAAAATCAATGACGATGTAGCAACATCCCACAATTTGGATAGACATACCTACATACTTAGATATGAATCGGTTAATTACCAATGGGAATAAGTGAGAATTTTTTCCGATATGGCATCATGCCGAACTGCATCAAAATTTGGTATCGAAAAATTGCTGACTTATTGCCATTGGTAACTGAAGAAGTTCGGCCTAAAATTGGCAGAATTCGGATTTGCTAAAAACTCATTAATCTCATTAAACTTATCATACTTTTTGGAATTCATTTATAACGTTATAAAAATAATTTCACTAAGTCAACTGCCATTCACCATTTAGTTAGGGTCGACACCTTCGCGAGCTCGGATTGTGAAATTACAATTAAGAAATCATGAAGATTATTTCGATCTTTGCATTGCTTTCGGTAATTGGTGCTGGTTTAGCGGCACCACTAAGCCCACCCATTGAAGAAGACCCTGAGCTGATAGCTGGCTACTTTGAAGGCGACATCGTATTGAGCTCTTCGCAGCGCAATGGATATCGTAACGAAACCCGACGCTGGCCAAATAACACTGTCTACTACAAATTCAATGAAGGTGTTTTAGGTAAATAAGCGTATATTTTTTTTTTTGAAACATACGACAAATGTAGTATGCTCTTACTTATGTGCATATATAGATGAGGCACATCGTAATCATATTTTGCGAGGCATTCAAATTTTGGAAGAGGTTTCATGCATCCGATTTAAGGAAGCCACTGACGACCAGCAATATTATGTGAATATAACTAGCTATGCTGATGGTTGTTATTCGAGTGTTGGTTGGTTGAATCGCGTTCAAACCTATAATCTTCAGACTTATGCTTTGGATTCCGGTTGCTTCCGTCTCGGCACAATCGTGCATGAGTTCTTACATACGCTCGGATTTTACCATATGCAGAGCGCTTCGAATCGTGATGAATATGTGCGCATCGCAACTGAAAACATTCGATCTGGCTACGAAAGTAATTTCAATAAATACGATGAGGACTTTGTCGACGATTACGATGAGGAATACGATTATGGTAGTGTGCTACATTATACAGCGTATGCTTTCTCGGCAAATGGCGAAATGACTATAGTCCCGTTGAAGGATGAAGCGGCCGGTATAATGGGCCAGCGACGTGGTTTGAGCCAAAGTGATATCAACAAATTGAATACAATGTATCGCTGCCCGGTGACAGTTTAGAGTAATAAAGCTAAGGGCCGTTAATTTATCAATGTGATTTATGATTTAACTTAACTTTAAAAATAGATAAGCTAAAGGTCCTAAGTTTGAATGGTTCCCCAGAAATTAGTATTCATTTAACATGTTTGAATCAATGATAATCGATTAGAGTAAAATTTTTAAGGAGGAAATATATATCTATGTGCGACCATTGTCTGATTCAGCTGTTCAACTCCTTCATTTAAGCTTCAATAATATTTGTTTAGGTAAGTACTTTAAACGAGTGGCATAGCCCTGCAAAAAATGCGACTAATCCGGAATGACTCCCGGAGCAATCGCAAAGGAACATGCGGCTAATACTACTTTTGATCTCTTTGTATGGAGTGAACTGTTCGCTTTTGTTCGAACATGTCCTATGATGAGACTAATTGTTCCCTTTTAAACTCGAACGGGTATAAAAAGCGAAAATGAAAAGTTGCGCCAGCTGCGATTTGAACCAGGGTTCTCAGGTTTATTAAGCGAATACTCTCTCTATGTGACAACGCTGCACATGAAATTCCATTGACTAAGTGCGTACATATCATTAAAACGTTAATTGTACCTACTCATTAGAAATTAGTGGGGACTAACTGATCTCCGATAATACCCGTACGAGACTAGTCTCGGTATACTCGCTTTAGAAATTAGTCGCACAATTTTTTTCAGCAAGAGAGCAAGTTACTATTCTACATAATGAGTGCCATTTTGGCACTATATACCTCGAATGAATAAATTATAATTATCCGCGGCGCGGGTGTGAAAGTTGAGTATATTGAAGAGGCTTATATGTGATATTTCTCGCAACGATGTGTGTATTTCTGCTCCTCATTAGAGACATATGAAAAGAAGGTGTTCTACTGTTTCCTGCTAGTTTTCATTAAGACGATGCCCAGCCTTCTCGCTTGCGTGCGTCAGGTCTGGTTTTTCTTAATAAGTTCTGTCTAAGAGAACACACACTGGCCCCATTAATTTGGATATACGGCAGCCTGCCACCTTTCCCCAACTTTGATCCGATTTCTGAAGATTGTGGAAAAAATTGTATCTATAGATGGTTCCAAGTGCGGGTAAGATCCGCTCCTCGATCGATGCCAATTTGAAACCCTCTCCGACTAACTCGTCTTCAGCTTCGTTACCGGAAACGTTGCGATGACCCGGGACCCAATCTAACTCTAGATCGAGCTGGCTAGCTACTTACAGCGTTTAAAAGATTCCTACACTCTTTGATCAATTTTGGCCTTGTTGTAAAATCCTCCAAGCTTAGCGAATGCTTCTGCTTGGAAAACATTTGTAAAATCGCATTCCATTTTGAAGCCAACGGTGTATAGATTAAGTGTCCAGGCAGAGATACCAAGTTCGCCGTCGCTGTCGGCTTTCGGCGCGAGCATGACCCCGAAAGGTCTAGGTAGCTTGTTATTACTTTACGGTTAGGTTACAGTGATTGCTCCAGATAAGGGACACACTTGGACTTTCAGAAAATAGTCCGTTATGAAACCACGTCAATTTGTCAATATTAAACTAGAAATATCACACGATAGAGAGTCACCTTATCTAAAACCTCGTTTTTATCAAACGGCTCGGTGATATCCCATATACATACGTATGAATTTCGCAGATATTCCAAGCTCAGTCAACTTAGTCAACTTATGCTGAAATCAACAAATAGCGTGTGGTGAATGCCTGGTTTATGGTGGATTTAAGGAGACCTAAAGCTATACTGACAAGTCCTAAATCATTCGTGGACGGTGAACTTTAGACATTCACACGATACGCTTGATAAGTCTATTAGACGATGCTTGAAAGGCTAATACCGCGGCAATTGGCGCAAGTGGAAGTTTCGTTCCTGAAAAATTCTGACACCGGCTTAGCAGAAGTTTCCAGATTATAAGCGCTTTTATGGTTTATGGGAATGTGTGCACAAATATTTTTCTAATTGTCCTAAACCGCATTGGTGCATATTAGACCGGGTCGGTCGCCATATGAAAAAAAGTTGTAAAAGTCCACACCTGTATTTAAAGGCAATGCTGAAAGGATATCGACACCCTCGACAAATTTATTTATCTTTCTAAATACCACGAAAATGGTTATGTGACATCAGATTTAAAAAAAAAAAAAAACAATATTCCATTATACCGGTCTTAAGGACCATTTTGAGCCCACTAAATTCTAGTATAACAAATGCAAATTCTGACTTAGTCAAAAATCGCTTTGATTTTTGAGAATTTTTTTTTTGTTGAAGGCGTTTTGCATTTTTTTCCATAAAAAGTATTTTCGAAAAATTTTTTTGTATGGAAGAGACTGCGGGAAAAAGGTAATTCGGTAATTCGTAGCGACTTATAACTTCTACCTTATTACAATAAAATTGATTGGGCTACATATCTGCATACTCGAAAAAAATCTAAAAAATCTGATTAAAAAGTTGAAAATTTCGAATTTTTCCGAGTTTTATACAAAGTTTAGAAACTATATTTTTATGTTTTTTATTGTGGAATCAACCATACTTTTTTAAAAAATTGTCGGAAAAAAGATTACAATACAAATTGTTGCATATATTGTAAAAAAAAAGCAGCTGGGTCAGTTACCCAGAGTTTTACCCCAAAAAAAGACTAATTTTGTTTAATCATACTCAAGTACTGGAACAAAAAATTACACCAAATTTGATAAGGGATGACGGAAAATAATTCACAATGCATGCTACTTTCAAATTGGTGTTCTAAATTCATAAACAAAGAAGTCATTACCGACCCAGTCTAATGTATAACAATAATAATCATGTTTCCTGTAAAACGACACTAGATAATTATAACTGTGATGGTCATTTATGCCTTTCAAATCAAAGGCACCGAAAATCCAAATAAATAGTGCAAATCCTAAAAAAATTTCAGTGGAAAATTACTAATCAGAACAGCAAGTTGAAGAGTTTCAGAAATTCGTGTGAAATCTATGATAAGCGTCGAGAAATTGCGGGCATCACTAACAGAGAGAGAGAAGTCACCTGCGAACTGTGCTTGCATTTGTATTGCACAACAAAGAAACGAGCAGCTAGTAGGAGTGAATGGCGATTAGTTGACACTATTGTGTAAGTAGCGCCCTATTTCAGATGTCCTTTAGCCAGTTGAGTTCGTGCAAAAGTGGAAAGACGTGCGGCGCTTCGGCGGCAAGTGGTGCAAGGGAGTGTCGTTAAAACGCCTCAAATTATCAACCACAATATTAACGCACTCAAATCGCAAGAGATACACTTGTCATTATCATCCCTCTGAGAATTATTATGTCCCCTGCGTATGGAGCGTCATTCCCTGCCGGTGTACGGTAGCAATAATGTTGCAACAAGTGCAATTCTTATGTCTTTTTTTTTGTTTATTAATCTTTTGTTTGCTTTTCTGCTAATCGCTATTTAACTTCTTTAGCCCGTTTTCTTTGAATTTTCGTACCTTTTTTTTGGTATTCTTTTTGGCGTTGTATATGTAATTTTGTGGATTCGTTTAAGTCCTTTTGCTACAATTCGCGTAATTTTCTTGGCTCTACACACACGTACATACATATCTTTGTATGTATAGGAGTATGCACCCAGTAAAAACTTGTATCATCCAAAGACTAATTTTAGGTCGCTCTTTTGCGAGCAGTGAATTACACCACATATAAGGTTGCCACCTATTCGAAATTAGTTACAAATTAATTAAAACATCATAATATGGGTATCCAATGAAAGGTATTTTAAGGATCTCTAATTCAAAAATATTTTTAATAGGGTTGCCACCTATTATGAATCGCATATTTATTTAATTTTTTATTAGGAAAGAAAGCTAAAATATTACTTTTCATGGGCGCCAAGAGAAGGTTCTTAAACAATTCTGTCCCTTTATGCAAAATATTATCACTTAGGATAATAGTGTAAGGTTGCCACTTATTTTCGATTCTACACAATTTATCTAAAACATCACAATATGGATATCAAATGAAAGATATTCAGCGTATTTCGTAATAGGGTTAACACCTAAATTTTAGAGTAATAAATTTACTTAATACATATCGAAATCCAAATTTTTTTAATTTTTATTTCCGAAATATTTTTTAAAGCTATCCAAATCTTGAAAACCTTAAAAAGTATATGCACTCTGGGCAAAGCTCGGTCAACCTGGTGCTGTAACATTAAGCGATGATGAAATACATAAAAGTTTAGGAAAAAAGAAAAAAGATTGACTTTAATTTCTTCATTTTGGTATTAATCCATAAATTTTGTACTGGGTATGCCTCGATCTATATAAGTATGTACAAACACACTTACATACGCGCATAGTACATACATACTATGTACACAGCCGTGCACTTGTTATCCTTTTTTGCAGGTGTAATTCAAGTCGACAACAGGATTTGTGGCTATTTCGCATTGAGTAGTTTTGGTGCATTTAATTTTTGTATTGAGCCCAAGATACGCACACACAATAATTCTCACATATTTCCTGCGCGTATTTTTGTTATGTCCTCACGCATGGCAGGTGCTCCTTTCTGGGGTTTACACACGTGCGTACGTATGTAGCTACATTAAGGTACAAATATCTATACGTACATAGTGACATACTACTGCCTTGAAGCAGTCAACTGGTCTTAACGTATCAATACATACTCGTAGAAGTCCATCATATGATTTTGATGGATTTTATTGTATTTTTAATTTATTCATGCCGCTAGTAGATGGTTTTATGGAAATACCCTTACAATTTTGGCAGCAATTTAAACCTCTCGAATTTAGTTCATTGTCCTTTTAAAAAAATTTAAGTTATGTTGTTGCTTGGCATGATGTTCTCATTGCTTAATTAAGTATGTATTTTTTATAAATTATGACTTGGAAAAGTCCTTGTTAATTTTCAGAGTTAGAGTTAGGTAGGTAGGTGCAACTAAGATTTCATTCTGCCAGTTTGTTAAGGTAACTTAAAACCCCCGAAATCTGCTCCTCTATAATTTCAGACAGTTACAGAAGAGATGGAGAACGG